GCCTTCCCCTGTACGAACTATGAATTTCACTCGTTTACAGCTGTCAATTATATTTTCAACCTAATCTAGAAAAAGCGCTTTGATGTACTATGTGAAAAAAGTTTTAATAAGGTAGAAAATACCTTTTGCTGACTTTGTGCTTGTTCCATTATGAATAGCGTTCCGAACGTCAATGGCGAAACCTCTCAAACTTCTTCCAATCCACCTCTTCACCCCGCTTCTTTAAGGTATTAGTGATTGTGAAAATAGCGCCCCCTTCATTTCCGGAATGCAATAGTCCCAATTCCATATAAGGTCTGAGACTGACAGTGGTCCGTCCCCGCCCCTTTCTGCAGGCTGCAGTCAAGACCCTCTCGAGGACAATGTGTGTCTGAGAGACATGTAATGTCCATGTTTGCTGCTGAAAGAGACTGATGGTCTGACCCCCCTCCTCCTTTCAGGGTGGAGCCTGCTGGAGGCCGATTCTTGACTCCAGTCTGAGGAAATGTAAGTGTGTTTTTCATCTGATTCATGACAACAAAGCAGCTCACATTCAACCATCTTCAAACTGTCACATCACTCATTCAGGAGTCAAAGTGTCAATAAATGATCAATAACTGCAGCTGGATTGTGTTTGTTCTCCATCAGATTCCTGTCAACTCACCATCGACACAAACACAGTGAACAGAAAACTCAAACTGTCTGAAGACAACAGGAAGGTGACATATGAGGAGGAGCTTCAGTCATATCCTGATCATCCAGACAGATTTGATAATTATCTTCAGCTGCTGTGTAGAACTGGTCTGACTGGTCGCTGTTACTGGGAGGTTGAGTGGAGAGGAATGTTTATATATCAGTGAGTTACAGAAGAATCAAGAGGAAAGGAGGCAATGATGACTGTTTGCTTGGATGGAATGATCATTCCTGGAGTCTGATCTGCTTTGATCGTCATGGTTACTTTGTCTGTCACAATAATAGACAAACTCGTCTCTCCTCCTCCTCTGTCTCTAACAGAGTAGCAGTGTATGTGGACTGTCCTGCTGGCATTCTGTCCTTCTACAGAGTCTCCTCTGACTCACTGATCCTCCTCCACACCTTCAACACCACATTCACTGAACCTCTGATTCCTGGATTTACAGTCTGTTGGACCAGTTCTGGTTCCTCTTCAGTGTTTCTGAGCTGATTTGAGTCTAAAGAGTCTAAAGTTTTTCCTCCTGTCAGAGAAACTCTCTCACTGTTGAACAGATAGTTCAGTCTCTACAATCTATTTCTTGGTGAAACGATTCTGATTGAGTCCTTGGAAACTTTTTTTTCTTCTAGTCCTTTCAAGATGGAAGATGGCATTATTCCAGGTTTATTCCAGGTTTATTCCAGGATCCACATGTTTTTCAGTTTGTTTTCTTGTCATAGCTTCACTCTATCAAGAGATGCTGGTATACTGGTGGTGAAGCAGCAGGCAGAAAACCCAGGATATAGTTAAATGATGGTTTTAATAGTAAAAATAGTCCAAGTGGAAACACAAAAACAGGCAGCATGGCTGAGCTGAAGCCAGGGCTCAACGCCTGTAGCAACTGTTCATCCTGGTGGACAGAAGAACAGGCTTGACAAAATGACGTGAAGAACGATGAGGACCCGATGAGGAACAAAGGACAACCGTGGGATTAAATACACAGATGGTAATCACAGAAACGAGAAACACCTGGGAACAATCAAGGGGAAACAGGACAACGCAGAGACTGGAAGCATCACAGAAAAATAAGGACCGCTCATTTTGAAGGCTGCCTACGTTCAATAACATGAAAAAACTGCATGTTTTATATGAATTCAATTAGTACTTAATACTCTTTACACAAGTGAAAGTACAAATGTAATGTGTTTAAAATTTCACAATAAAATAATCTCATTAATCCTACATGATTAATTTTCCATTTTTATTCAACAATTAATCATTTCACCTCCAAAAACCTAATTTTTAGTTTATTCCTTGACTATTTTTTTATTTTTCCCCAATAATTAAATCAAATTTACTGACAAAGATCCATAAGTTAAAACCTGAATCTCTAACAGGGAACATTTAATGTCCATATCTGGTTTAAAAGGCTCAAAATTAGCAGCCATGTTTAAAAATGTTGGTCATCCTGAAACCCAAGTGGCTGATGGGAAACCTGAGGGTTAGCATGCTAATCTTTATCCCTGTATCTACACTTTAATTACTTTTTCAGTGAAATGCTGAATTTAAATACTTCATCATGTATATTTACATAAGTCTACTCTGAGTCTAGTCAAAGTTTTTATAATGAATCAGTGATTTATGATGTGTTCAGAGCCAATCCAAGCTAAAATTATTTAATTGTTCACAACATAAATATCATGTTTTATTATAATTTGGCAAACCAAGAGATTATTCATGTGTTTTATTTACTGTCACAAAGCTTGACCTCATGACCTCGTGTGTTTTCTCCTGTAGAGGAAGTGCTGCTGCTTCTGTTTTAGCTCAAACCTGAAACAATCGACCTCCTGATGAACACAAAGTTCTGCAGAGTGTGTGTGAACACACCACTGGGTGTGTGTGTTGACCGCTGCCTTCTTGTCTTGATCACATGCAAATCAGCTGTTATGAAATGTATTTCCTGCTCCATTTCAGAAACACTTTCCCACTCAGAAGTAATAAAATACACACATTTTGAAGCGATGTTCATTTATATTTGTCAAACTGGCAGATTAAGCAAAGATCAGAGTGTTTGGTTATTGATCTCTGTTAAAAAGGGAGAGGTTTTGGGTTTTCATAACTTTAGAGCAAAGATAACTCTGAAGGACTTTCCAGGATGTGATTACATGATCCTTACAAAAACATTTTATTCTTAGACCAAAAATAAACAATTCCTCTTCATTTCAGGTGAATAACTGCAAGGTGAAAGTCCTGATGCACAAAGAGTGAGTCAAGATTCCAAGATTTTACTAATAAAACAGTTTTTTATCAAGCCAGACAATTTGGAGGATTTTCTTTCCAGGCTGAGAGAAGAAAAATGGATGAGCATTCAGGTTGGAAACATCATCAAACTGGAGAGCAACCAGTTTGTTCCAGAACTTTCTGATCTCAGATCTGGAAACAAACTTTAACTGAGACGTTACTGAAGCTTGATGTTCAGTTGGTCCAAATCTAAAGCTGGTCTGCAGAGATGACTTCAGGGTTTGTTTGTTTCTGCTCACCTGGAGCACCAGCCGGGTGGAGTCAGTCTGAGTTCCTTCATCATCTAAAGAGAACATTGAAGATCCTCCTGGAAAAAATGGAGCTTTGGAAAGAAATCAGCAGGAAGTGAAAGAAAAATGGATCTTTATCACTTGTGAAGTGGACGACATCAGAGTTGGATTCAGTGGAGTCACAAGAAGAACAGAAAACTGAGGCTAGAATAATAAACATCATGCTAAATATCAGCTGCAGCTAATCTGTCAGAAGAAGCTTCAGGTTGAATCTAAAGGAGGCTGAAGATCTCAAAGTGGATGAGAGGAAACCTGATGAGCTCTACAGTCCACTAGATCCAGATCAGAACCCTGGAGAACATCTACGCTGGAAGCAGAACCACAAGCTAGAAAATATCCAGGTTCTATCCAACCTGAACACAGGAAGTCCTTTCTTCTTCTGCTGCAGCTGAGAAGGTCCTGCTGCAGAACTGGAACCACACAGTTCCTCCACAGCAGAACAGAGGAGGTTCTGGAGGAGACCAGGGTCCACATCTGGACTCAGAGTTCTCCTGAGCTTCAGCAGAGCTGCTGGCTTTGGTTCTGATCCGCCTCTGTTCTGGTGTCTGATCTCCAGAGAGGATCTGAACCGACCCATCAGAACTCGGTGGAGGTGGTGGAGGATGAGGATGGGGCGCGGCGAGGAGGTGGAGGAAGAGCGCCGTGATCCATCTCTCTGCTGTGGAGACCTGAGGGAATCTGACAGAGAAACAGCAGCCTTGAAATTACAACAACACTATTATTTAATAGTGTTGTTGTAACACTATTGCTGTTATTACATTATCAATGACGATAATGTTTCTCCAACATTGATGTTGAGGGTCAAGTGTTCAAATTAGTGATAGATTCCAGTTTTGACATCATATCAATTTGATTTGTTATTGATTGTTAGGAAATGCACCATGTTGAAATCATATAAAAGAAAATTAAGGCTGCCTGGGAAAATACGAATCACTCTGTTAAATTAACATTTTAATATGAAATTCAAAAGTTTTTGTGCAGACAAATCTGCAGGTTTTCCTTTTTAAGAAGAATATTCTAAGACTTAATGCATCTCAAACTCCCTCCAAGCTCATATATCTTTCTAAAAAGTTACTTGTAAATTAGTTTTGTCTTATTTTAAGTGTCCAAATGTACTTGAACAATAAACTAGACCAAAAATAAATGGTAATTTTTGTTTTTCTCTGATAGTATCCACGTTTTAACTCAATATAAAGTCAGTTTTTGTAATTGTGGCTGGAGAAAGACATTCTCTACCTTTTCTCTGCTTTTCTAGCTGAAGAACAGCGCGCTAGCATGGCAGGCAAGTCCACTGCATATGCAAACATGTAAAACATGACTGCATATATGCCTTTAAAATAACTTTAAAAAAAAACACTGCACAATTATCTGAATGAAGCAACAAGACAAAACCTTTGTTGCCTCTTTACTGCAACTCCTAGTTTGAAGGAAGTGAGGAAGAGGAGGAAGTTAAAGAGGAAGGGGAGGAAATGGAGGCAGAGGTTTGTTGCAGTTGAAAGTGGTTTTTAACATCCTTCATTCTCCAAATCCAAAGTCATTTCCAAAGATTTTCCCCAAACTGAAACGAAAACATCCAACATGGTGGAGTTTTGTTGTCTGGTTTGATTCTCATCTGTGAGGATTTCCTCTTTAGATTAGCAGCATTTTCCCTTATTTCCATAAAAGCGCCAAATCACCTTCAACTGTATTTTTTTATTTTAACACTTTATTTCGTTCCTTTTCTAAATCATGTGTGATAGACTGAGAAGGATGAGGTGGGTTAAACATGTTATCTTGGATTAAATCACCTTAATATTCACCAAAAAGTCCAGAAATCATTTGGATTTATACAGCTCCTCCACCTCTTCAGGACAGTTTGACACTGTTTGTGTTTTTTTATATCTCTAACAATTTTCTGACACAAAGATGGACGAACCGTTTGAGAAGGTAGGCACAAGCAGAATATCCTAAATTATATTCTTAATATGCAATTTCCACTTGATGAGTGTCAAAATGGGGCATTTCATCCAAAATGTCTTGTTTTACCTCCCAACTTTCTGCCACATAGAGAGAAAATGCATGTGAGGATCATGAGGTGAGTTCATGCGTGTTACAGGAGGTGAACTGTAACATGCATGTTATTATGAGTAGAAATGCAAACTACACCAACAAGGTGTTTAACGGACTCGTAATGCAACCGTAGACTCTCAGGTGTTCTGTAATAATTCAGCTTTAGAAGTAATTTAGCTTCCAGGTTCTGAGTCTCAGTAAAATCCCAAAACTTCCCAGTTTTATTTCCCTTTTTCTTTCTCTAAAACCTTTTGTCAGCCTTTTGAACTTGAAGGTTTCTCTCCTCCAGATGGACACGGAGGCCAGCGACCTGCTCAACGACCTGCAGGTTCGGCTCAACAACGTTCTGGACGACCTCAGCAGCACGTTTGGGAACAGGTACGCCGCCCTCACACCCCACGTTTCCCCCACTTTGTCCCAGTGCATCACTGGCTTTTCTTCTCCTGCAGCTTCCAGAGCCGCATCACCGACTGCATGCGGCAGATGGCGTCGCTGCTGTACCAGATCAAAGGACCGCTCAACGAAAACACCAAGAACCAGGTGGAGGGCGACTCGGACAACATGCTGCGGCCGCTCATGGACTTCCTGGATGCGCAGTGGGTTCAGTGGGATTTCCCCAAACACGGCTCGTCCGTCGGCGTGTGTGTGAACGTCTTGTTTTTGCAGATTAACGCTGTTCGCCACGGTGTGTGAGAAAACCGTCCTGAAGCGCGTTCTGAAGGAGCTGTGGAGGATCGTGATGACCAGCCTGGAGAAGAACATCGTCCTGCCGCAAGGGAACGACACCTTGGTGAGTCTGACGCTCGTCTCCGTCACTGGACAGGTTTCCATCCAGATGGTTTTGAAATGTTGTCAAAAAGTGTGAATTAAAACACAATCTTACCAAATATTTTTGATCTAGTTGTCAGTGAAACTATCTTAGAACAGCAGAAAATGAGAAAACTAACTCACAAGTAGCTTTTCAGCAAGAAATAGAAGCTTGTTTTAAGTCAATAATTTCTTAATATTGCTGACAAAATTTGATTATTTCACCTAAATCAAGATATTTTTGCAATGTTATAAGGGAAATAATAACCAGACTAAAATCTCATTTTATATCAATAATTTTGGGCAAAATAAATGTAATGAACTTATTTTGTGTAGGACAGATTATTTCACTTATAACAAATCATTTTCCCTTAAATTAAATAATCTGCCAACTACTTTTTTTAATCAATATTAAGGAATTATCGACTTAAAACAAGCTTCTACTTCTGATAAATTACTACTAAGTTATTTTTGTCTTATTTAAAATGTGCTGAGATATTTTAAAATTCAAATTCAAACATACTTTATTGATCCCAAAAGAAAAGTTAAATGTTGTAATTCACATTCGTCAAATTTGCACTAGAAACTAGAGCAAAAATACTTGGTAAGAGTTTATGGTTTTGCAGTGTAATTTGCATTTTCTTTTATACATTATTATAAAAATTTGTTCAAAATTTGAATCACTGCTGGATGGAAACATGGCTGCCATTTTGAAATGGATCAACTCGTAATTGTGTCAGATGATGAGATGCAAACATTTTGACAGACGTGACCAAACACAAAAAATATTTTTATCCATTATGTTTTAAAATGATGACTGTGGCATATTCAGTTTAATTATTAGTCAACAAACTGAACATCATCCAATCACATATAGAGTAGATAAATAACTCACTTTATGTATGAACATGAGTTGTATCGATGCTTTTTTCCATCTCCATCAAACTTTACTAATATGATCATTAAAATTGAAACAAGGCTTCTGAAAACTAAAAGAATCATTCATTTTTCTGTTTTTCCTGAAGGGAGCACAGATCCTTTCTGCTGCTAAAGAACTGGGACACCTTTCCAAACTGAAGGTATCAGGTTGCCTTTGAGTTTGCTTTCTCCTGTGAATTGGTCTAGTCAAAGTCTTGGTTTGGGTTGTTTAGGATCACATGGCAGGAGACGCTAAAAGCCTGACGCCCAGGCAGTGTGCCGTCATGGATGTGGCTCTGGATACCATCAAGGTGAGAGCGAAACGTTGACCTCTGGTCAAACAGAAAAGTACAATTCATTCACATTTTAAGAGTCTTTTAGTTGATTAACTAAAAGTCTGATTAACTCCACTTTAAGTTTAATCATTCAGGTTGTAGAACGCTGATTCCTCTCGTTTTGTTTCCTACGCAGCAATACTTTCATGCGGGCGGGAATGGCTTGAAGAAGACTTTCCTGGAGAAGAGCGCTGAGCTTTCGTCGCTCCGCCACGCTCTCTCGCTCTACACCCAGACCACCGACACGCTCATCAAAACCTTCGTGACCACGCAGCATTCACAGGGTAGATCCAAAACGCCTCCAAGGAGATTAAATACGGGAGAGTTTCAGATTCCTCGCTGCTTTTATCTCCTGGATTTGGTTGTTTAAGTTGCTGTCTTGTTTTTATCTCCTGCTGCCTCTGTGCCAGTGCACAATGGGAAGGGTATTAGGTTAACCCCTAATGAGAAAATCCAGCCCAGCAGGGGTAGGTCTCCATGAAATCATCATCAGCCCAACTTCCCTTCATCGTTTTCTCTCTTCTGTTTTGTGAAACCTGCGTTTCCGTCGCATGACTCTATAAAACTTGGTTTTCTTTGCCTGCATTGGACCAAATGTTGTTTGTGTTAAACCAGGCTCAGGTGTGGACAAACCCATCGGAGAGGTTTCCCTGCAGATTGAGCTGTACACTCATCCCAAGAGCGGAGAGCGGAAAGTTACTCTCAAAGGTCCGTTTGGGCTCATTTTGAACCAATAAAATCAAAGCTGGAGCATTTTAGTGTCATTTCTGTTTAAATGTTTGTGTCATTGATGCAGTGATTGCAGCCAGTGATTTGAAGTGGCAGACGTCTGGGATGTTCAGACCCTTCGTGGAAGTCACGATGATCGGGCCGCACCTCAGCGACAAGAAGCGCCGATTTCAGACCAAATCCAAGAACAACAGCTGGTCTCCCAAATACAACGAGACCTTTCACTTGTAAGTTCAAAACCAAACGTCGTGACACATTTAGGATTTGAAGCTCTTTTAATTCTGACTTCATAAACTGTTGGTTACACAAAACAAAGTCCTTGTGAAATTACTGGACAATGTCAGCTAATGCGCTAGCAGCACAGCTAATTGTTCATTTAGTGTTTCTGCTAAACATTTAGTGAACTTCCTCAAATTTAACTTTTCCAAATAAAATCTGGATTTATTTTAAGAAATTAATTGTGTGGCATTAGTTTTAAAAGTTATTTTAAAAAAAGCTAAAATTAGCTCTACTATTAGCACATTAGCAGCTAATGGAAGTGTCCCTTCTACTGCAGATGTCAAACTTTATTCAACTGAAAGTGTAGAAAACAGCAAAAGTACATTAGTGCTTTAGAATTTAACTTGAAACTGATTTAGGGGAATCAAAATGTGTGCACAACAAATTTGCTCAGCTATTAGCACATTAGCAGATTAGCAATAGTGTAATCTACCACTGCAGATGTGGACCTCAATCAAAGTAAAATGTTTTGATTTAAAATGGAAAATTAGATCATCAAAAGCTAGGTGCACGAATGTTTTTAAAGTTTTAGAAAAAGCACAAAATCAGGAATTAGCGCTGCAATTAGCGCCCTAGCCCATGTGCTCCCACTCCTGTGTTCTGCTCTCGCTCTGCAGCGTTCTGGGTGTTCAGGACGGGTTCGAGTGCTACGAGGTTCAAGCCTGCGTCAAGGACTACTGCTTCGGCCGCGCCGACCGGGTGGTGGGCCTGGCCGTGGTGCAGCTGAGGGACATCATGGAGAGGGGCAACTGCGCCTGCTGGTGCCCCCTGGGGCAGCGCATCTCCATGGACGACACGGGCCTGACCGCCATGCGGATCCTCTCCCAGCGCTCCAACGACGACGTCGCCAAGGAGTTCGTCCGGCTCAAGTCCGAGACCCGATCAGCAGAGGAGGGAAGATGAGGCTCTGCTTGATGCAGTGGCACTGCTTTGACCTCTGACCTGTCTTGGCTGCTGTGTAAAACCTCACCAGCTTCCAGTGTTCTTCAACTTCACATTTTTTTAAGTCTCGTCCGCCTCTACTGAGGAGACAGAACCCATCCAGAACCTGTCAAAGGGCCGAATAAGAACCCACCCGCCCCGAGTGTTCTTGTGCAATAAATCCAACCCACCCCTCCCAAAGTGTGGCCAAGTGGTTCAAGCCTTACACTCTGCAAGCTGTGAATGTGTGTTCATGTAAAAGGAAAGAAATCCCTGTTTTTAATGAGCACAAGTCAAATATTTCACTTCACTTAGCAAAGAAAAACTACAAATCACAATTTGTTTTCTAACAGTTTGAGCAGGAAAATGCCTTGTCATGCAGAAACGATGCTAATCCTCGTTTTCACATGAAAAATGTTTGAATTTAACTCATCGCTTCATTTCATCCTCTATTGGTAGTAATTTTTATTTCTCTGTTTTCTGCATGTCATGACCATTTTATTTATATTTTTGTATATTTATTTCCCTTTTAAAGATTTGATCTGATTTCTGCTCCATTATTGACATTTTGTTGAGATTTTTTGGGTTTTGTTACAAACTGAGTTGCACAGCAGGACTTGAGTTGGAATGATTACAAGTTTACATTTCTCTCCTTTTTTGTTTTTTATCCTGCTCTTCATACGAGTGGCCTTAATTATAAAAATTATGTTTATTTTTAATCTCTTTACCTTGTAATTGTTATAATTTGCATCTTGTTTCTCCAGACTGATGTCCTTAACATTTTGTATTTTTCATTTTAGTTATTTTATGTAAGCTGTAATCTGTCATGCTGAGTATCAATCCCATGTTTTTTTATTTACCATTTCTTTGTATTTTCTGTAGACAGCGATTTATTTTGAACTCTTTTTGTTTCAGCAGCTTTTTAATGGATGAAATTAAACTACAGATTCAGCCTCTTACCTTCCCTCAGTAATTCAATGTTTCTGTTGATGGGAGCAAATATTTCCTTGTGCCAAGTTAAGTTTTCACTTTAGGTTTTTAATTACTGCACATTTTTGTAACTTTTGACCATAAATCACTGCATTTATCTGGAGTTTTCATTGGACTGTCACGTCTCTTTAAATCTGTCTCACTGTGTATGATTTCCACTCAATATTTTGTATAAAGTATTTAAGACTTGTATGGAAATGTCTTTTATTTCTTATACTACGGACTAAAAACGTAATTTTCACAGTGAAATCAGTGTATTTATACTGGGCAAATTTATAATAGATCTTATTGCACTTTGTGAGGAAAAAGGTGCAAATTAAACTGGAAGTCTCTTCTAACCCCACCTGCATCATCCAACCGTTGCTTCCTGTTCATCACCATTGATTAATCAACGCTGGTCCAAGACGCGTCACGTCCAATCACTGTCCAAGTCCCAGCTGATAAATAGCACCGTCCATGGCGTCTTCTGCTGTCCAGCAGAGCTCAACCCTCCTCCACCCCTTCACCTCCACTCGCTCGGCTCTCCGGCTGCATCCTTTCTTCACCTCCATCACCAATGTCTGGTCTCGGGGGATGACGTTCCTTTCAGCATATGGAATGCTCATCCAAGCTCATCGCAAAGATTGTGATGATCGATGTCCTCAGCCGGGGCCCAAGCGCCAAAGACTTAAATTTTGTATGTCAATAAACTCTTCTAATGGTTTCCATTTTCTCCGTCTAAGTCTCTCCAGATTGAATTAATGTTCAGATGAAATCAACTCAGATTTTTCCATTGTGAACTAACCATAAAAGTTCATCTGAATATGTGTGAAGTGCACAATTCTAGTCCAAGTTCAGGGAGCAAAAACAATCTTTAATACATCTGCAGACAGAGGGAAAAATATACTCTGCATTAGGCGAAAATCTAAATCTGCTCTAACGAACTCAGAGTTACATAGTTGCTTTATTCACCTCTCAGCTAACAGAGGAGAAGATTAAGTTCCCAGACGACCCGCCTGGGAAACTTCAGCAGACGCATCTTGTTCAGTTAGTTTGTACACCCTCTGCAGCCGCACCGAAAAACATCTTGACTATGATACAATTACATTTATGTGATACATAAAAGAAGACTGTATGATGCAAATAAAACATTTTCTCTTTAAAGCAATTGTTTAAAGCAAATTTCATTGTTCCAGAAATGGTGAATTTCATATGTGCATCCTTTATTTCACCAGTTTTTCTTTCCACTCCACTTTTTATTAAAATGTAATACTGTCTTCTGGGAAAAGTCATCTTGTTCAAGAATGAATTTTTGTGGCAGATATTCACCATGATTGATTACTCCATAATGTGGCAATAGTTACCTTTTTATTGGTTTTGTGTAACCATGCAATTTGTCTTACAGAATAAAATTTGTCCAATTAGCAAACTGAAAAGTGAGTTTAAAACTTCTTTTAGTGTTGTAGTTCAGTCTCCATCCAGCAGAGCGTCCCACTGGTCATTCTGAGGAGCCATTGATACGAGTTTGCAGTGGTATCTCTGAAGAGGAATGAGGTCAAAACCATAAATATGGTCCAGTTTGGGGTCTCCATTTGTAGATTGTTTGTCAATTTGAGAACATAAATTTACTGGATTGAACTGGAGATTGATAAAACAAAGAGTAGAGTTTTCTAATTTGCATTTTTGTGCCATAAAAGAATGGAAATCAAACGTGCAAAGAGTTTGACTGGAAAGTAAAAACCAGATTTAATAGAACACACTGTGTCAAATAAAGTGTTACTCCTTTCAAAACGTTCATTTCCAGGATTCCAACCACAGATGGATGTTGGAGGAATGTGTTAAATGGTCGGTCATCACACGTCTTCTGGTTCTGACCACAAATAAAGACTTTCTGGGAGGAAATGAAACAGGAGATTGAGGACATTCTGAGGACAGATCTCCCCATGGAGCCTCTTCTGTTTCTGCTGGACATAAACACCAAGGATTTACTCACTAAACATCAATGTTACATATTGTTGCACCTTCTGCTGCTGGTAGCAAGAAAGACAATTAGACTAAACTGGATTAAACCCAGTTCACCAACTGTTGCTGAATGGAGGAAAAACTGAAACATGACAACATGATGGAGCGTCTGACTGAACATCTAGACATGAAAAAGATAATTAAATATGTAGTTTGGAAAATAAATACTGAATTTGAAAATTAAATGTTTAGTTTGTAAAATAAATATTTCTTTGAAGCCAAACATTTAGCTAAAGTTTGATTTCCAAAAATTTTGTTTTCAATCAAAGTAAATATTTAGTTTATAATGAACGTTTGGATGACATGATGAAAATATTGTTTGAAAAATGCATTTTCCCAACTTTTTCTTTATGACATGATGAATGAACTAAAATACTGTTAGTATTTTCTGTTTCTATCAATCATCACTACAGTAATAATCAAAAGTAAGTACACCTTCATTTTATCAGAACTTCTCTTCTTCCTCATGAAGATTTTATCAACCTGCCTCTGATTTCACCTCAGAGCTTCTACTTCCTGGTTCTGTTGCTCTGGAGGAAAAAACTACAAGTCAGGTGAGCTGTGACGTCATCAGTTATGCAACATCCGTCACATCTACTTTCAGTTTGAATTCACCTGTTCAGGTGCGGCTGCAGTCCGATTGTAGAGTCTCAGTCTGTTGTTTAAATTTTCTTCTTTAACTCTTTGGATCGTTTGAACAAACTGTAAGTTTGATTTGTTTATTTATTGAACTTTTTCATCACTTTAACTTTTTCCTGATTGTTTCTAATCTCTGATGTTAGTAGAAAAGTTTCACTTCTGATTTCAGCTGAAACTTTAATATCTGCTGTTTGAAGGCTAATCTGCAGAATTATTAGATTATTGATGAACTGGAATCAATCAACATGATGAACAGCTGATGTTTCACTGTTTTCTTCTCCGAACTAATTCATGTTTTTATTTCCTGGTACTGAACTCTGGTCTCCACCATTAATGTCAGCAACAGTTTCCTGTTGCTTCCTTTCAAAATAATATTATTAAAATATTATTATTGATTCAGTCAAATTATTAAATAGTTAACATTTAATGCAGCAAATAATCCACTTGTATTAATTACTATTTGTGAACTATAAGACTTGTTCAGGTTGAATCAGTGAATGTAAATGTTGCTCCATGTCTCCATCTAGTGGACTGATAGTAGAAGTGCAGCAGCTGATGGCAGCTTCCTCTGCCTCTCTGCTGTCTGACTGCATTCACCTGACACTGATATGAAGCAGAGAAGAAGAGCCAATCAGAGGAGGAGCAGCTGATCTTTTTCCAGCACTAATGATGTAAAGGATGATCAGAGTTGATGTGCAGATGAATGATGTGTGTTTCCTCTGCAGGTGAAGCTAGAAAGTGTGTGTGAGCTGATGTGGATTCAGCAGCATGGATCAGTGTGAGGACAGAGAGGAGGGAGTCCCTCCCTCAAAAACCACTCTGCGTGGGGATGAGAGCCAGAGCAAAGGTCAGAGGTGAGGTCACCATCTCTAACTGTCCACAGCCCTTTTCACACAGCGTTCACTATATCAGGCCAGAACAGACGTGGTGATGAAGCTGCTGCTGCTCCTCTTTGCTGATTAAGTTTTTAATCATCATGTTTCTGTCAGGATCCATCAGAGACTCAAACCCGAACCAGAACCAGAACCCAGCTGTGTGTCCTTTAAGAGCGACATGTCAAAGGGTGGGCTCATTTACTTTAAATCTCCTGGATCTCCACCATCAGAGAGGTGAGCTGTTTTTAATTCCTGTTAGTGTGGAAACTGAACCAGTATGAATATCCCAGTTTTTATTTATTCTGTTGACAGTGTGGAGTGATTAAAGTGCAATATCAACTTTTTTACATAATCTGAGTGATTCTAGTGTTACTGTGATCCATTTTCCTCTTTCTAACTCCTTTGTATTGTGCTGATGTGATGCTCTGTTTTACTGCTTCAAGTATTTGTAATGTGAAACTCCTGGTGATTTCCTCCATGAAAACTGTTGGATGAATATTTCCTGACTTCTGTTAAGAACAGAGAAATAGCTTCACTGTTTCCCAGGTGCATCAGTCTCCGCGTGCGCAGAGGAATAATAAAGAACAATCATACGACATGAGACTTCAGACATATAAGAGCTTCTCCAGAGAATTCAATGCATACAGAATGTTACATCAGCATTACACCCAGATCATCAAAAAGTCTGACACATAACAACACAGAAAGCGTTTCCTGGACGAGTTGAAAAGAAAACACAAAACAAAATTGCATTTTTGAGAGTCGCTCACTCAGGCACAAAGTGATTGGAGCTTCTGCTGGAAAACAGAGCTTTTTATAAGAACGTGTATTCCCTTCATTTAAATATATGCATTAGGAGGTGTGTTGTTCCCCTCATAGGGCTGTCTCAAAGTTAATTTTATTACCTCTGAGACCTGCTAAAACACCCAGATCTTCCAGTTCCAGTCTCCTCCTTTTTACGTTCCAGGCCATGATTTATGACCTGCAGCTGGACAGTCCTCTCTGCCTCAGAGATTCAGCAAGAAACTGATTTCTATTTTAAACAAACTGGCACAAAAATGAAATGCCAAATAATAACTATAAGTTTGGATCTAACAATAACAGGGTTATCCACTTTTGGAAAAGCTATTTTTTAGAATACCTGAAATTTAGAAGTAAAATAGTTTCCTAATCCTATCGTATTTCAATAATATAAAATGCATGCAAATAGTATGGTTAAAAGCTAACTAATTCAAACATGCTGTTAATGCTTAAAGGAAATATCTTAATGCGTTTGATTATACTTTGGAGAAGACTTTTTAAAGTTTTAATGTTTCACTGAACTCTTGAACCGACAACAAAAAATGTATTGATGCTGATGACAGATATACTCCCTGTCTGCAGACTCCTTATGGGACTCCAACACTGCCTGTCAGAAAACCCTCCTTAGAAATTTATGTAAGTTCAGAGAGTCACCAGTTGTTTTAGTTTGGATCTTTGTCTAAGTTTACCTAACTTGAAATCTACTCTAAATGTTCATGCAACATCTAATATTTCATATGCATAAAGGTTGACTGTCTTTAAAGTTATGCTAATGAGACTTATATTCTCAACACTTCCTAATTGTTCCTGGTTCCTCCACAGAGTGGTCCGGCAGACCTCAGAGGTTCCCAGTGGTCCATCTGCCCAGCAGCATCAAACAGAACTGGAGTCCATATTTATGGTCTGTATATGAACAACAACTATTTTCCACGAGTTCTGTTCAAAGTCACCTTCATGTTTCACTTTGTAGACCAGAGGACTGTCAGTCTGTCCAACATCCATCTGGTGTTTGGCTCCATGAATTCAGTCCCATGTGTCCATCTATTATTCTGTTCCAGCTGCTGGAGGAAAACATTGTTACTTTTGTGAAGAATGAACTGAAGAAGATTAAAAAGGTTCTGAGTCCAGATTACCCAGAACATTCAGAGAGTCAGAGAGATGATGATGGGTGTTGAAAGGTGATGATGAAGAGCAGAGGAGGAGCTGCAGAGAGGCACTGATGAAGATCACACTGAACTTCCTGAGGAAAATGAATCAGGAAAAGCTGGCTGACCATCTGCAGAGCAGTAAGAGCATTTCTGAAGAGATTTGAAATTATAAATTACACATTTGCTGAAGTGATGTAATCAAATTCAAAACATGATTTTCTTTCATATCTGATTTTTTTATTGTGTTAATTTAGGACATTTTGCTCCAGTTTGTCAACATGAACTTAAATCTGGTCTGAAGAAGAAGTTCCAGTCTGTGTTTGAGGGATTGCTAAAGCAGGAAGTCAAACCCTTCTGAACCAGATCTACACAGAGCTCTACATCACAGAGGGAGGGACTGGAGAGGTCAATGATGAACATGAGGTCAGACAGATTGAAACAGCATCCAGGAAACCACACAGACCAGAAACAACAGTCAGACAAGAAGACATCTTTAAAGTCCCACCTGGAAGAGATCAACCAATCAGAACAGTGATGACAAAGGGAGTGGCTGGCATTGGGAAAACAGTCCTAACACAGAAGTTCACTCTGGACTGGCTGAAGACAAAGCCCACCAGAACATCCAGTTCATATTTCCATTCACCTTCAGAGAGCTGAATGTGCTGAAAGAGAAAAAGTTCAGCTTGGTGGAACTTGTCATCATTTCTTTAGTGAAACCAAAGAAATCTGCAGCTTTGAACACTTCCAGGTTCTGTTCATCTTTGATGGCTTGGATGAGAGTCGACTTCCACTGGACTTCCACAACAAGGAGATCCTGACTGATGCTACAGAGTCCACATCAGTGGATGTTCTGCTGACAAACCTCATCAGGGGAAACTGCTTCCCTCTGCTCTCCTCTGGATAACCACACGACCTGCAGCAGCCAATCAGATCCCGCCTCAGTGTGTTGGCCTGGTGACAGAGGTCAGAGGGTTCAATGACCCTCAGAAGGAGGAGTACTTCAGGAAGAGATTCAGAGATGAGAAACAGGCCAGCAGGATCATCTCCCACATGAAGACATCACAAAGCCTCCACATCATGTGCCACATCCCAGTCTTCTGCTGCTGGATCACTGCTACAGTTCTGGAGGATGTGTTGGAGACCAGAGAGGGAGGAGAGCTGCCCAGAAACCCTGACTGAGATGTACATCCACTTCCTGGTGGTTCAGACCAAAGTGAAGAAGGTCAAGTATGATGGAGGAGCTGAAACAGATCCACACTGGAGTCCAGAGAGCAGGAAGATGATAAAGTCTCTGGGAAAACTGGCTTTTGATCAGCTGCAGAAAGGAAACCTGATCTTCTATGAATCAGACCTGACAGAGTGTGGCATCGATATCAGAGCAGCCTCAGTGTACTCAGGAGTGTTCACACAGATCTTTAAAGAGGAGAGAGGTCTGTACCAGGACAAGGTGTTCTGCTTCGTCCATCTGAGTGTTCAGGAGTTTCTGGCTGCTCTTCATGTTCATCTGACTTTCATCAACTCTGGTTCTGACATGATCAAAGAAATACAAAGATCTAATACATCCTCATTACTTAATAAATCTGACCTACAATCTCTCCATCAGAGAGCTGTTGACCAGGCCTTACAGAGTCCAAATGGACACCTGGACTTGTTCCTCCGCTTCCTCCTGGGACTTTCACTGCAGACCAATCAGAGACTCCTAAAAGGTCTGCTGACACAGACAGGAAGTAGCTCACAGACCAATCAGGAAACAGTTCAGTACATCAAGGAGAAGATCAGTGAGAATGTGTCTGCAGAGAAAAGCATCAATCTGTTCCACTGTCTGAATGAACTGAATGATCGTTCTCTAGTGGAGGAGATCCATCAGTCTCTGAGTTCAGGAAGTCTCTCCACAGATAAACTGTCTCCTGCTCAGTGGTCAGCTCTGGGTTTCATCTTAGTGTCATCAGGAAAAGATCTGGATGTGTTTGACCTGAAGAAATACTCTGCTTCAGAGGAGGTTCTTCTGAGGCTGCTGCCAGTGGTTAAAGCCTCCAACAAAGCTCTGTAAGGTCACAGATTGTTAATGCAGTTATCTTTGATAGAAATATACTAATGATGAGGTAAACATATATGTTAATTTTTCAGCTTATATATTGTTGCATTGTCTCCTCAAAGTTTCTTACTGGGGGGTGATGTGTGAAGGAGACACAGAGTCCCTTCAGCAGCTGACATAGTGATACTTATAAAGCAGCAAAACTCGTCCTCTTTATGTTAAAATTTAAATTGTATTAATTTTGTTAATTGTGGAATTTTATCATTCTCTTTCCAGACTTCTTGTTTCCTGTAGTTATAAACTTTAAGGATGGAGGACTAACTATAAAATGAACCATTTCGCAACAAAAGGCATCATAAACATGTGTAAAATAAGATTGATCCTTCTCTGTCCAAGAAAAACCTTGAAAAATATAAATCTTTGTAGAATTGTATAATAACATATTTTCCTCCCTGTCTCCTCAGACTGAGTGGCTGTAACCTCTCAGAGAGAAGCTGTGAAGCTCTGTCCTCTGTTCTCAGCTCCCAGTCCTCCAGTCTCAGAGAACTGGACCTGAGTAACAACAACCTGCAGGATTCAGGAGTGAAGCTTCTCTCTGCTGGACTGAAGAGTCCAAACTGCAACCTGGAAACTCTCAGGTAACTCTGGGCCATCCATCCATCCATCCATCCATCCATCCATCCATCCATCCATCCATCCATCCATCCATCCATCCATCCATCCATCCATCCATCCATCCATCCATCCATCCATCCATCCATCCATCCATCCATCCATCCATCCATCCATCCATCCATCCATCCATCCATCCATCCATCCATCCATCCATCCATCCATCCATCCATCCATCCATCCATCCATCCATCCATCCATCCATCCATCAATCAATCCATCAGTTCAGACCTTGGTTTCTACCTCAATGTTCTCATTTTCTCATCATGTGATGAATTGTGTGTCTGCAGTTATCAGGCTGTTTGGTCTCAGAGGAAGGCTGTGCTTCTCTGGCCTCAGCTCTGACCTCCAACCCCTCCCGTCTGAAAGAGTTGGACCTGAGCTACAATCATCCAGGAGACTCAGGAGTGAAGCTGCTGTCGGCTGGACTGAAGGATCCACACTGGAGACTGGAAGCTCTCAGGTATGGAGGAACCTGCTGCAGGAGCAGAGAAGGTCTGATAGAGGAGGAAGAGGGAGAAATGTCTTTAGTCAGTCTGCTGGGAAACATTGAGTTTGAAGCTGAATAGTTAACTTGTTGCTCAAAGGAACAGTTTTTGTCAGTCACTGCTCAGTTTTCCATCTCTGAATCCAACCAGTTAAAAATGGAAAGATATAATCTGAGATTCTCTCTGCTTTTGTTGAAGCTGGCGTTTTCCCTCAAACCAGCTCTGATGCTGATATTCAGACTAGATTTTCAATGGACTCTTTCTGTTAAAACTGACACTGGATTAATGTAGTAATATTTCTCTTGCCAGCCTCCTTATTGCCTGTAGTTCAGTTCTTCAAGGTCAGAGTCCCAACTATAGAATAAAGTTTTGAAAAATATGACCTATTCTTCAATAAGTCGAAGAATATTGTTGACTGTAAAGTAACACAAACATTTGATGATTTCTTAAACATTAGGGGTTTCTGTAAAAAGAAACGACTTCCTTCTGCATGGATAAATACTATAAAATTAAACAGTTCATAACAAATGGAAATATCATGTAAAATAAAATTGTTCTCTCAAATCAACAAAAAAACATTGTTGACTGGAAACAGAAGGCTTGTATTAATAACATATTTTCCTCCCTGTCTCCTCAGACTGAGTGGCTGTAACCTCTCAGAGAGAAGCTGTGAAGCTCTGTCCTCAGTTCTCAGCTCCCAGTCCTCCAGTCTCAGAGAACTGGACCTGAGTAACAACAACCTGCAGGATTCAGGAGTGAAGCTTCTCTCTGCTGGACTGAAGAGTCCAAACTGCAACCTGGAAACTCTCAGGTAAAATGTTCTCAATCCTGGTGAAACCAGATTTCTGTCCATTATATTCTATCAGTTATGATTCAAATGTTTTTCAATAATAGAAGAAAATGATAATAGATGTCTTACTGTTAGATGGGTATTTCCCCTATATTGGTTTTCTCAATGTTTTTTTTTCCAAACATGAGTTTAAATTGGACAGTTTCTTTACACAATCCTTTTATAGAACAATTTGATTCTTATTCAAATAGTTTTTATCAGTTGCTGCTCAGTTTTCCATCTCTGTATCCAACAGTTAAACATGTAAAGATGAAACTAGATTTGCTCTGCTTTGATTCAAGCTGCTGTTTTCCCTCAAACCAGCTCTGATGCTGATCCTCAAACTGAGCCTGATGCTGATCTTCAGCCCAGCCTTGATTCTCAGGCTTCATTGGACTCTTTCTGTTAAAACTGACATGGATTCATTTAGTTCATAGAGGAATTTAATATTTCTCTTGCCAGCCTCCTTGTTGCCTTTAGTTCAGTCCTTCAAGGCTGGAGACCCAAATATAGACTGAACCAGTTCACAACAAAAGGCAACATGATTATATATAAACAGTCCATTAAATCAGTAAAGAGGAACATTGTTGACTGGAAAAAAGACATTTTAATAAATTATTTAATAGTATATTTTCCTCCCTGTCTCCTCAGACTGAGTGTCTGTAACCTCTCAGAGAGAAGCTGTGAAGCTCTGTCCTCAGTTCTCAGCTCCCAGTCCTCCAGTCTCAGAGAACTGGACCTGAGTAACAACAACCTGCAGGATTCAGGAGTGAAGCTTCTCTCTGCTGGACTGAAGAGTCCAAACTGCAACCTGGAAACTCTCAGGTAACTCTGGGCCATCCGTCCGTCCGTCCGTCCATCCATCCATCCATCCATCCGTCCGTTCAGACCTTGGTCTCTACCTCCATGTTCTCATTTTCTCATCATGTGATGAATTGTGTGTCTGCAGCTTATCAGGCTGTTTGGTCTCAGAGGAAGGCTGTGCTTCTCTGGCCTCAGCTCTGACCTCCAACCCCTCCCATCTGAAAGAGTTGGACCTGAGCTACAATCATCCAGGAGACTCAGGAGTGAAGCTGCTGTCGGCTGGACTGAAGGATCCACACTGGAACTGGAAGCTCTCAGGTATGGAGGAACCTGCTGCAGGAGCAGAGAAGGTCTGATAGAGGAGGAAGAGGGAGAAATGTCTTTAGTCAGTCTGCTGGAAAACATTTACGTTGAAGCAGGTTGTGTTGGTTGTGTAACTTTTCAAACAGCAGCTCGTTTAAACTATAAGAATCTTCCACATGGTTCTGAATGAACCTGGGAAACCAACCCATCTACTGGAACCACAATAACATGGTATTCAGAGCAGCAGGGGGCCAAATAGCTCCATGTGGAACCAAGAGGTTGGAGAGAGAAAATCAGTTGAAACTGTTTCCTATCAGAGTTCAGTTTGTCTCTCTGTCTTCACAAACCAGGAGCATCATGGGCTGGGCGGGGCTTCCACTGATGATCTACTGAGGAAATACAAGAAGCTGATTGGCTGATTTAAAATAAGTTAAAAATATGCAGATTAATGATATCATATAAAAGATATGATATGTAATTGTAGAGACAGCTGGGAAACAATTTGGACTTTAAAAGAATATTTCATGGAGATCTAGACCAATCAGCCCAAATGAGGAAAGATCAGAAAATGGTCAGATGGATGTGGAAAAGTTCTCAAAAAGTGAAACAAAGATTCACAACTTTCAGGACTTAATGAAACCAAAAATACACAAAAACATGAAGCAAACTGTTTGAGGCAGAGTTTAGCATTTTTATTTGTATGGTAGTTTGTCCTCCAGTAGGTGGCGCTAGAGTCAGGAGGAGCAGCCTGGAGAAAAGGCTGATCCTCCCTGATCTGTTTCCAAGCAGTCAGAGTGTAGAAGTTGAGATCTGGAGAAGTTTTCCTCCTGTTGCTGCAGCAGCAGAGATGTTCTGCTTCATGGACTAAATCAGGTTGGAAAGAGGAGAGATCTTTACTGAGCTGCTGGATAAAAGCTGCTGAAACATTTCAACTCTTTCTGGAAACTAATGAGACAGAAAAACAATGGATGTTTTTACCATCCAGACCTTTGGAACCAGTTCAGCTCAATAATTCAGTTGTATCTGTGGAAGATGAACAGATTTGATGTGAAATGATGAAATTCTTCATTTCTATCTGATGTTCCAGCAGATCTGTGGAAAATGGAGCTGCAGCTCTCAGACATTTCATGTTTTCTATCAATGAATCCACTGATTAAAGCAGGAATCTCATCTCCATGTTCTCCTCCAGAGGTTCCCAAGGTTTGTTCCTGGAAGCTGCTGCTGGTTCCTCCAATCCAGGCTCCGCCCCCTTTAGAGGAAATCTGTCCATATATGGCGCTAAGAGTCACCTTGATGCTGCAAAGCTTTGTTCAGGGATGAGATGTCAGGATGTTGGTGTCAGTCTGTTCCAGGCTTTAGTTGTTCTCCTCATGAGGAGCTGAAGTCTCTGACAGGAACGTGGAGCTGAACAGGAGAAGAACTTGAAGCTTCTTCTTGGCCTCTGATTGCAACAGCAGGACAATCCAACATTTTAGTCTGACTTCATCTGGAAATATTTCTTTGACCCTCAATCAGTGTGAAGGCAGGCCAGCTCCTCATCAGAGCTGAGATCTTCTCTGTCCTCCATGCTGGAAATGTAGAAGTCCAGCAGCTCCTGGTCAGTGACATCAGAGCATGACATCATCAGTAGAGTGATGATGTCATTTCCTATCAGAGCAGCTTGGAAATCTGAGAGAAAGATGCAAACAAAGACTCTCTGGACTGTTGGATCTGCTGGTTCTGGTTCCAGATGCTCCTTGGACACTTTCACAAGCCATTACTGCAGCTGCTGGATTCAGGATGCTGCTGCTTCTTCTTGGGCTCATTGTAAATGTGTGCAGCGCCACCTGGTGGTGCTGGTTGGTAGAGGAAGTGCTGAAAGGTTGGAGGTGTTTGTCAGAGGTGTGTGATGATGGAAGCCTCTCCCTGGTTTGTGAGTCTGAGCTCAGAGATCAAATCTTTGATTCTTGTTGAATCTTTGTTGAATGTGATGCAGCTTCTCCTTTGTAATGTTTGTATTTCTGGATATTACAGTGAGGCCACAGCAGGTTTTCAGCAGCAGGGCTGTTTTAGTGTTTCATTCCTTCATCTGTGTGTGGGAGTGTGGATGGATCAGGTATCCAGGTGTTGATCAGAGTTTAGATTGATTGTATTTTAATGCTGATTATTAAATCAGGTGGAGCTTCCAGAAATGTTTCCTTAGTTTCCTGATGTCCTTTTAGGCTTCAGTGAGTTTCTTCAGGTTGTTACTGAGGGATTTCCTTTCTCCTCTCTGTTGGAGCTTTTCCTGTGTTTGGAGAAATGAGTTGTGCTGCAGCAGCACCAACTGTCCTTCCTACATCCACTGCAGTTTGCAATCCAGATGTTGGACTGTTCCTGTCTCAGTGGAGGACAATGTGTGTCTGAGAGACATGTAATGTCCATGTTTGCTGCTGAAAGAGACTGATGGTCTGACCCCCCTCCTCCTTTCAGGGTGGAGCCTGCTGGAGGCCGATTCTTGACTCCAGGTCTGAGGAAATGTAAGTGTGTTTTTCATCTGATTCATGACAACAAAGCAGCTCACATTCAACCATCTTCAAACTGTCACATCACTCATTCAGGAGTCAAAGTGTCAATAAATGATCAATAACTGCAGCTGGATTGTGTTTGTTCTCCATCAGATTCCTGTCAACTCACCATCGACACAAACACAGTGAACAGAAACCTCAAACTGTCTGAAGACAACAGGAAGGTGACATGTGTGGAGGAGTTTCAGTCATATCCTGATCATCCAGACAGATTTGATAATTATCTTCAGCTGCTGTGTAGAACTGGTCTGACTAGTCGCTGTTACTGGGAGGTTGAGTGGAGAGGAGATGTTGATATATCAGTGAGTTACAGAAGAATCAGGAGGAAAGGAGACAGTAGAGACTGTGGGTTTGGATTTAATGATCATTCCTGGAGACTGAGCTGCTCTGATCGTTATGGTTACTTTGTCTGGCACAATGATATAGAAACTCGTCTCTCCTCCTCCTCTGACTCTAACAGAGTAGCAGTGTATGTGGACTGTCCTGCTGGCATTCTGTCCTTCTACAGAATCTCCTCTGACTCACTGATCCTCCTCCACACCTTCAACACCACATTCACTGAACCTCTGATTCCTGGATTTGGGTTCCTGTTTTATGGTTCCTCAGTGTTTTTGATCTGATTTGAGTCTAAAGTTTTTCCTCCTGTCAGAGAAACTCTCTCACTGTTGAACAGATAGTTCAGTCTCTACAATCTATTTCTTGGTGAAACGATTCTGATTGAGTCCTTGGAAACTTTTTCTTCTTCCAGTCCTTTAAAGATGGAAATGGGATTATTCCAGGATTATTCCCGGATTATTCCAGGATTATTCCAGGATCCACATGTTTTTCAGTTTGTTTTCTTGTCATAGCTTCACTCTATCAAGAGATGCTGGTATACTGGTGGTGAAGCAGCAGTCAGAAAACCCAGGATATAGTTAAATGATGGTTTTAATAGTAAAAATAGTCCAAGTGGAAACACAAAACAGGCAGCATGGCTGAGCTGAAGCCAGGGCTCAACGCCGGTAGCAACTGTTCATCCTGGTGGACAGAAGAACAGGCTTGACAAAATGACGTGAAGAACGATGAGGACCCGATGAGGAACAAAGGACAACCGTGGGATTAAATACACAGATGGTAATCACAGAAACGAGAAACACCTGGGAACAATCAAGGGGAAACAGGACAACGCAGAGACTGGAAGCATCACAGAAAAATAAGGACCGCTCATTTTGAAGGCTGCCTACGTTCAATAACATGAAAAAACTGCATGTTTTATATGAATTCAATTAGTATTTAATACTCTTTACACAAAGTGAAAGTACAAATGTAATGTGTTTTTTTCTAAATTCCTTCATTTTATGAAAAGATGGTTAGCTCTCTTTATACAGGAGAAAACTATTTTTAAGAGAGTTGCCACTGATCAATTAATCGTTATTGATTCTAAGAGCAATCATCTTTAGATTAATTCAATCAATCTGTAAAAATGTTAAATAAATTAGTGGTTTTCACTGGCTATACCCAGTAATTATTCATTAAATATAACAAATTCTAAAAACACCAGTCTCTTAATGTTATTCCTTTAAAAATAAGTTTTGTTTCTAAAATGATCAAATTAAAATAAGTTACTTTTTGATTTTATAAGGATATTCTGTAAAATTGTAACAGTTTTCAAATTTCACAATAAAATAATCTAATTAATCCTACATGATTAATTTTCCATTTTTATTCAACAATTAATCATTTCACCTCCAAAAACCTAATTTTTAGTTTATTCCTTGACAATTTTTTTTATTGTTTCCCCAATAATTAAATCAAATTTACTGACAAAGATCCATAAGTTAAAACCTGAATCTAACAGGGAACATTTAATGTCCATATCTGGTTTAAAAGACTCAAAATTAGCAGCCATGTTTAAAAATGTTGGTCATCCTGAAACCCAAGTGGCTGATGGGAAACCTGAGGGGTTAGCATGCTAATCTTTATCCCTGTATCTACATTTTAATTACTTTTTCAGTGAAATGCTGAATTTAAATACTTCATCATGTATATTTCCATAAGTCTACTCTGAGTCTAGTCAAAGTTTTTATAATGAATCAGTGATTTATGATGTGTTCAGAGCCAATCCAAGCTAAAATTATTTCATTGTTCATAACATAAATATCATGTTTTTTATATAATTTGGCAAACCAAGAGATTATTCATGTGTTTTATTTACTGTCACAAAGCTTGACCTCATGACCTCGTGTGTTTTCTCCTGTAGAGGAAGTGCTGCTGCTTCTGTTTTAGCTCAAACCTGAAACAATCGACCTCCTGATGAACACAAAGTTCTGCAGAGTGTGTGTGTGTTGACCGCTGCCTTCTTGTCTTGATCACATGCAAATCAGCTGTTATGAAATGTATTTCCTGCTCCATTTCAGAAACACTTTCCCACTCAGAAGTAATAAAAATACACACATTTTGAAGCGATGTTCATTTATATTTGTCAAACTGGCAGATTAAGCAAAGATCAGAGTGTTTGGTTATTGATCTCTGTTAAAAAGGGAGAGGTTTCGGGTTTTCATAACTTTAGAGCAAAGATAAACTCTGAAGGATTTTCCAGGATGTGATTACATGATCCTTACAAAATCATTTTATTCTTAGACCAAAAATAAACAATTCCTCATCATTTCAGGTGAATAACTGCAAGGTGAAAGTCCTGATACACAAAGAGTGAGTCAAGATTCCAAGATTTTACTAATAAAACAGTTTTTTATCAAGCCAGATAATTTAGAGGATTTTCTTTCCAGGCTGAGAGAAGAAAAATAGATGAACATTCAGGTTGGAAACATCATCAAACTGGAGAGCAACCAGTTTTGTTCCAGAACTTTCTGATCTCAGATCTGGAAACAAACTTTAACTGAGACGTTACTGAAGCTTGATGTTCAGTTGGTCCAAATCTAAAGCTGGTCTGCAGAGATGACTTCAGGGTTTGTTTGTTTCTGCTCACCTGGAGCACCAGCCGGGTGGAGTCAGTCTGAGTTCCTTCATCATCTAAAGAGAACATTGAAGATCCTCCTGGAACAAATGGAGCTTTGGAAAGAAATCAGCAGGAAGTGAAAGAAAAATGGATCTTCATCACTTGTGAAGTGAACGACATCAGAGTTGGATTCAGTGGAGTCACATGAAGATCAGAAAACTGAGGCTAGAATAATAAACATCATGCTAAATATCAGCTGCAGCTAATCTGTCAGAAGAAGCTTCAGGTTGAATCTAAAGGAGGCTGAAGATCTCAAAGTGGATGAGAGGAAACCTGATGAGCTCTACAGTCCACTAGATCCAGATCAGAACCCTGGAGAACACTACGCTGGAAGCAGAACCACAAGCTAGAAAATATCCAGGTTTCTATCCAACCTGAACACAGGAAGTCCTTTCTTCTTCTGCTGCAGCTGAGAAGGTCCTGCTGCAGAACTGGAGCCACACAGTTCCTCCACAGCAGAACAGAGGAGGTTCTGGAGGAGACCAGGGTCCACATCTGGACTCAGAGTTCTCCTGAGCTTCAGCAGAGCTGCTGGCTTTGGTTCTGATCCGCCTCTGTTCTGGTGTCTGATCTCCAGAGAGGATCTGAACCGACCCATCAGAACTCGGTGGAGGTGGTGGAGGATGAGGATGGGGCGCGGCGAGGAGGTGGAGGAAGAGCGCCGTGATCCATCTCTCTGCTGTGGAGACCTGAGGGAATCTGACAGAGAAACAGCAGCCTTGAATTACAACAACACTATTATTTAGTGTTGTTGTAACACTATTGCTGTTATTACATTATCAATGACGATAACATTTCTCCAACATTGATGTTGAGGGTCAAGTGTTCAAATTAGTGATAGATTCCAGTTTTGACATCATATCAATTTGATTTGTTATTGATTGTTAGGAAATGCATCATGTTGAAATCATATAAAAGAAAATTAAGGCTGCCTGGGAAAATACGATTCACTCTGTTAAATTAACATTTTAATATGAAATTCAAAAGTTTTTGTGCAGACAAATCTGCAGGTTTTCCTTTTTAAGAAGAATATTCTAAGACTTAATGCATCTCAAACTCCCTCCAAGCTCATGTATCTTTCTAAAAAGTTACTTGTAAATTAGTTTTGTCTTATTTTAAGTGTCCAAATGTACTTGAACAATAAACTAGACCAAAAATAAATGGTAATATTTGTTTTTCTCTGATAGTATCCACGTTTTAACTCAATATAAAGTCAGTTCTTGTAATTGTGGCTGGAGAAAGACATTCTCTACCTTTTCTCTGCTTTTCTAGCTGAAGAACAGCGCGCTAGCATGGCAGGCAAGTCCACTGCATATGCAAACATGTAAACATGACTGCATATATGTCTTAAAAATAACTTTAAAAAACCACTGCACAATTATCTGAATGAAGCAACAAGACAAAACCTTTGTTGCCTCTTTACTGCAACTCCTAGTTTGAAGGAAGTGAGGAAGAGGAGGAAGTTAAAGAGGAAGGGGAGGAAATGGAGGCAGAGGTTTGTTGCAGTTGAAAGTGGCTTTTAACATCCTTCATTCTCCAAATCCAAAGTCATTTCCAAAGATTTTCCCCAAACTGAAACGAAAACATCCAACATGGTGGAGTTTTGTTGTCTGGTTTGATTATCATCTGTGAGGATTTCCTCTTTAGATTAGCAGCATTTTCCCTTATTTCCCATAAAAGCGCCACTTTCACGTCACCTTCAACTGTATTTTTTCATTTTAACACTTTATTTTGTTCCTTTTCTAAACCATGTGTGATAGACTGAGAAGGATGAGGTGGGTTAAACATGTTATCTGGGATTAAATCACCTTAATATTCACCAAAAAGTCCAGAAATCATTTGGATTTATACAGCTCCTCCACCTCTTCAGGACAGTTTGACACTGTTTGTGTTTTTTTATATCTCTAACAATTTTCTGACTCAAAGATGGACGAACCGTTTGAGAAGGTAGGCACAAGCAGAATATCCTAAATTAGATCCTTAATAAGCAATTTCCCACTTGATGAGTGTCAAAATGGGGCATTTCATCCAAAATGTCTTGTTTTACCTCCCAACTTTCTGCCACATAGAGAGAAAATGCATGTGAGGATCATGAGGTGAGTTCATGCGTGTTACAGGAGGTGAACTGTAACATGCATGTTATTATGAGTAGAATGCAAACTACACCAACAAGGTGTTTAACGGACTCGTAATGCAACCGTAGACTCTCAGGTGTTTTGTAATAATTCAGCTTTAGAAGTAATTTAGCTTCCAGGTTCTGAGTCTCAGTAAAATCCCAAAACTTCCCAGTTTTATTTCCCTTTTTCTTTCTCTAAAACCTTTTGTCAGCCTTTTGAACTTGAAGGTTTCTCTCCTCCAGATGGACACGGAGGCCAGCGACCTGCTCAACGACCTGCAGGTTCGGCTCAACAACGTTCTGGACGACCTCAGCAGCACGTTTGGGAACAGGTACGCCGCCCTCACACCCCCACGTTTCCCCCACTTTGTCCCAGTGCATCACTGGCTTTTCTTCTCCTGCAGCTTCCAGAGCCGCATCACCGACTGCATGCGGCAGATGGCGTCGCTGCTGTACCAGATCAAAGGACCGCTCAACGAAAACACCAAGAACCAGGTGGAGGGCGACTCGGACAACATGCTGCGGCCGCTCATGGACTTCCTGGATGCGCAGTGGGTTCAGTGGGATTTCCCCAAACACGGCTCGTCCGTCGGCGTGTGTGTGAACGTCTTGTTTTTGCAGATTAACGCTGTTCGCCACGGTGTGTGAGAAAACCGTCCTGAAGCGCGTTCTGAAGGAGCTGTGGAGGATCGTGATGACCAGCCTGGAGAAGAACATCGTCCTGCCGCAAGGGAATGACACCTTGGTGAGTCTGACGCTCGTCTCCGTCACTGGACAGGTTTCCATCCAGATGGTTTTGAAATATTGTCAAAAAGTGTGAATTACATAACAAAAACACAACCTTACCAAATATTTTTGATCTAGTTGTCAGTGAAACTATCTTAGAACAGCAGAAAAATGAGAAAACTAACTCACAAGTAGCTTTTCAGCAAGAAATAGAAACTTGTTTTAAGTCAATAATTTCTTAATATTGCTGACAAAATTTGATTATTTCACCTAAATCAAGATATTTTTGCAATATTACAAGGGACATAATAACCAGACTAAAATCTCATTTTATATCAATCATTTTGTGCAAAATAAATATAATGAACTTATTTTGTGTAGGACGGATTATTTCACTTATAACAAAACATTTTCCCTTAAATTAAATAATCTGCCAACTACTTTTTTTAATCAATATTGAGGAATTATCTACTTAAAACAAGCTTCTTCTTCTGATAAGTTACTATTAAGTTATTTTTGTCTTATTTAAAATGTGCTGAGATATTTTATAATTCTAATTCAAACATACTTTATTGATCCAAAAGAAAAGTTAAATGTTGTAATTCACATTCGTCAAATTTGCACTAGAAACTAGAGCAAAAATACTTGGGAAGAGTTTATGGTTTTGCAGTGTAATTTACATTTTCTTTTATACATTATTATAAAAATTTGCTCAAAATTTGAATCACAGCTGGATGGAAACATGGCTGCCATTTTGAAATGGATCAACTCGTAATTGTGTCAGATGATGAGATGTAAACATTTTGACAGACGTGACCAAACACAAAAAATATTTTTATCCATTATGTTTTAAAATGATGACTGTGGCATATTCAGTTTAATTATTAGTCAACAAACTGAACATCATCCAATCACATATAGAGTAGATAAATAACTCACTTTATGTCTGAACATGAGTTGTATCGATGCTTTTTTTCCATTTCCATCAAACTTTACTAATATGATACTTAAAATTGAAACAAGGCTTCTGAAAACTAAAAGAATCATTCATTTTTCTGTTTTTCCTGAAGGGAGCACAGATCCTTTCTGCTGCTAAAGAACTGGGACACCTTTCCAAACTGAAGGTATCAGGTTGCCTTTGAGTTTGCTTTCTCCTGTGAATTGGTCTAGTCAAAGTCTTGGTTTGGGTTGTTTAGGATCACATGGCAGGAGACGCTAAAAGCCTGACGCCCAGGCAGTGTGCCGTCATGGATGTGGCTCTGGATACCATCAAGGTGAGAGCGAAACGTTGACCTCTGGTCAAACAGAAAAATACAATTCATTCACATTTTAAGAGTCTTTTAGTTGATTAACTAAAAGTCTGATTAACTTCACTTTAAGTTTAATCATTCAGGTTGTAGAACGCTGATTCCTCTCGTTTTGTTTCCTACGCAGCAATACTTTCATGCGGGCGGGAACGGCTTGAAGAAGACTTTCCTGGAGAAGAGCGCTGAGCTTTCGTCGCTCCGCCACGCTCTGTCGCTCTACACCCAGACCACCGACACGCTCATCAAAACCTTCGTGACCACGCAGCATTCACAGGGTAGATCCAAAACGCCTCAAAGGAGATTAAATACGGGAGAGTTTCAGATTCCTCGCTGCTTTTATCTCCTGGATTTGGTTGTTTAAGTTGCTGTCTTGTTTTTATCTCCTGCTGCCTCTGTGCCAGTGCACAATGGGAAGGGTATTAGGTTAACCCCTAATGAGAAAATCCAGCCCAGCAGGGGTAGGTCTCCATGAAATCATCATCAGCCCAACTTCCCTTCATCGTTTTCTCTCTTCTGTTTTGTGAAACCTGCGTTTCCGTCGCATGACTCTATAAAACGTGGTTTTCTTTGCCTGCATTGGACCAAATGTTGTTTGTGTTAAACCAGGCTCAGGTGTGGACAAACCCATCGGAGAGGTTTCCCTGCAGATTGAGCTGTACACTCATCCCAAGAGCGGAGAGCGGAAAGTTACTCTCAAAGGTCCGTTTGGGCTCATTTTGAAGCAATAAAATCAAAGCTGGAGCATCTTAGTGTCATTTCTGTTTAAATGTTTGTGTCATTGATGCAGTGATTGCAGCCAGTGATTTGAAGTGGCAGACGTCTGGGATGTTCAGACCCTTCGTGGAAGTCACGATGATCGGGCCGCACCTCAGCGACAAGAAGCGCCGATTTCAGACCAAATCCAAGAACAACAGCTGGTCTCCCAAATACAACGAGACCTTTCACTTGTAAGTTCAAAACCAAACGTCGTGACACATTTAGGATTTGAAGCTCTTTTAATTCTGACTTCATAAACTGTTGGTTACACAAAACAAAGTCCTTGTGAAATTACTGGACAATGTCAGCTAATGCGCTAGCAGCAAAGCTAATTGTTCATTTAGTGTTTCTGCTAAACATTTAGTGAAGTTCCTCAAATTTAACTTTTCCAAATAAAATCTGGATTTATTTTAAGAAATTAATTGTGTGGCAATAGTTTTAAAAGTTATTTAAAAAAGCTAAAATTAGCTCTACTATTAGCACATTAGCAGCTTAATGGAAGTGTCCCTTCTACTGCAGATGTCAAACTTTATTCAACTGAAAGTCTAGAAAACAGCAAAAGTACATTAGTGCTTTAGAATTTAACTTGAAAACTGATTTAGGGGAATCAAAATGTGTTGCACAACAAATTTGTTCTGCTATTAGCACATTAGCAGATTAGCAATAGTGTAATCTACCACTGCAGATGTGGACCTCAAATCAAAGTAAAATGCTTTGATTTAAAATGGAAAATTAGATCAGCAAAATCTAGGTGCACAAATGTTTTTAAAGTTTCATAAAAAGCACAAAATCAGGAATTAGCTCTGCAATTAGCGCCCTAGCCCATGTGCTCCCACTCCTGTGTTCTGCTCTCGCTCTGCAGCGTTCTGGGTGTTCAGGACGGGTTCGAGTGCTACGAGGTTCAAGCCTGCGTCAAGGACTACTGCTTCGGCCGCGCCGACCGGGTGGTGGGCCTGGCCGTGGTGCAGCTGAGGGACATCATGGAGAGGGGCAACTGCGCCTGCTGGTGCCCCCTGGGGCAGCGCATCTCCATGGACGACACGGGCCTGACCGCCATGCGGATCCTCTCCCAGCGCTCCAACGACGACGTCGCCAAGGAGTTCGTCCGGCTCAAGTCCGAGACCGATCAGCAGAGGAGGGAAGATGAGGCTCTGCTTGATGCAGTGGCACTGCTTTGACCTCTGACCTGTCTTGGCTGCTGTGTAAAACCTCACCAGCTTCCAGTGTTCTTCAACTTCACATTTTTTTAAGTCTCGTCCGCCTCTACTGAGGAGACAGAACCCATCCAGAACCTGTCAAAGGGCCGAATAAGAACCCACCCGCCCCGAGTGTTCTTGTGCAATAAATCCAACCCACCCCTCCCAAAGTGTGGCCAAGTGGTTCAAGCCTTACACTCTGCAAGCTGTGAATGTGTGTTCATGTAAAAGGAAAGAAATTCCTGTTTTTAATGAACACAAGTCAAATATTTCACTTCACTTAGCAAAGAAAAACTACAAATCACAATTTGTTTTCTAACAGTTTGAGCAGGAAAATGCCTTGTCATGCAGAAACGATGCTAATCCTCGTTTTCACATGAAAAATGTTTGAATTTAACTCATCGCTTCATTTCATCCTCTATTCGTAGTAATTTTTATTTCTCTCTGTTTTCTGCATGTCATGGCCATTTTATTTATATTTTTGTATATTTATTTCCCTTTTAAAGATTTGATCTGATTTCTGCTCCATTTTTTGACATCTTTGTTGAGATTTTTGGGTTTTGTTACAAACTGAGTTGCACAGCAGGACTTGAGTTGGAATAATTACAAGTTTACATTTCTCTCCTTTTTTGTTTTTTATTCTGCTCTTCATACGAGTGGCCTTAATTATAAAAATGATGTTTATTTTTAATCTCTTTACCTTGTAATCGTTATAATTTGCATCTTGTTTCTCCAGACTGATGTCGTTAACATTTTGTATTTTTCATTTTAGTGATTTTATGTAAGCTGTAATCTGTCATGCTGAGTATCAATCCCATGTTTTTTATTTACCATTTCTTTGTATTTTCTGTAGACAGCGATTTATTTTGAACTCTTTTTGTTTCAGCAGCTTTTTAATGGATGAAATTAAACTACAGATCCAGCCTCTTACCTTCCCTCAGTAATTCAATGTTTCTGTTGATGGGAGCAAATATTTCCTTGTGCCAAGTTAAGTTTTCACTTTAGGTTTTTTTAATTATTGCACATTTTTGTAACTTTTGACCATAAAATCACTGCATTTATCTGGAGTTTTCATTGGACTGTCACGTCTCTTTAAACTTGTCTCACTGTGTATGATTTCCACTCAATATTTTGTATAAAGTATTTAAGACTTGTATGGAAATGTCTATTATTTCTTACACTACAGACTAAAAACGTAATTTTCACAGTGAAATCAGTGTATTTATACTGGGCAAATTTATAATAGATCTTATTGCACTTTGTGAGGAAAAAGGCACAAATTCAACTGGAAGTCTCTTCTAACCCCACCTGCATCATCCAACCGTTGCTTCCTGTTCATCACCATTGATTAATCAACGCTGGTCCAAGACGCGTCACGTCCAATCACTGTCCAAGTTCCAGCTGATAAATAGCACCGTCCATGGCGTCTTCTGCTGTCCAGCAGAGCTCAACCCTCCTCCACCCCTTCACCTCCACTCGCTCGGCTCTCCGGCTGCATCCTTTCTTCACCTCCATCACCAATGTCTCGTCTCGGGGGATGACGTTCCTTTCAGCATATGGAATGCTCATCCAAGCTCATCGCAAAGATTGTGATGATCGATGTCCTCAGCCGGGGCCCAAGCGCCAAAGACTTAAATTTTGTATGTCAATAAACTCTTCTAATGGTTTCCATTTTCTCCGTCTAAGTCTCTCCAGATTGAATTAATGTTCAGATGAAATCAACTCAGATTTTTCCATTGTGAAAACCATAAAAGTTCATCTGAATATGTGTGAAGTGCACAATTCTAGTCCAAGTTCAGGGAGCAAAAACAATCTTTAATACATCTGCAGACAGAGGGAAAAATATACTCTGCATTAGGCGAAAATCTAAATCTGCTCTAACGAACTCAGAGTTACATAGTTGCTTTATTCACCTCTCAGCTAACAGAGGAGAAGATTAAGTTCCCAGACGACCCGCCTGGGAAACTTCAACAGACGCATCTTGTTCAGTTAGTTTGTACACCCTCTGCAGCTGCACCGAAAAACATCTTGACTATGATACAATTACATGTATGTGATACATAAAAGAACACTGTATGATGCAAATAAAACATTTTCTCTTTAAAGAAAAATCTACTTCACATATGTTGGAATGTCATTGTTCCAGAAATGGTGAATTTCATATGTGCATCTTTTATTTCACCAGTTTTTCTTTCCACCCCACTTTTTATTAAAATGTAATACTGTCTTCTGGAAAAAGTCATCTTGTTTAAGAATGAATTTTTGTGGCAGATATTCACCATGATTGGTTACTCCATAATGTGGCAATAGTTACCTTTTTTATTGGTTTTGTGTAACCATGCAATTTATTCTCTTACAGAATAAAATTTGTTCAATTAGCAAACTGAAAAGTGAGTTTAAAACTTCTTTTAGTGTTGTAGTTCAGTCTCCATCCAGCAGAGTCCCCCTGGTCATTCTGAGGAGCCATTGATACGAGTTTGCAGTGGTATCTCTGAAGAGGAATGAGGTCAAAACTATCAATATGGTCCAGTTTGGATTGTTTGTAAAATTGAGATGGATGTTGGAGGAATGTGTTGAATGGTCGGTCATCACACACGTCTTCTGGTTCTGACCACAAATAAAGACTTTCTGGGAGGAAATGAAACAGGAGACTGAGGACATTCTGAGGACAGATCTCCCCATGGAGCCTCTTCTGTTTCTGCTGGACATAAACACCAAGGATTTACTCACTAAACATCAATGTTACATATTGTTGCACCTTCTGCTGCTGGTAGCAAGAAAGACAATTAGACTAAACTGGATTAAACCCAGTTCACCAACTGTTGCTGAATGGAGGAAAAACTGAAACATGACAACATGATGGAGCGTCTGACTGAACAACTAGACATGAAAAAGATCATTAAATATGTAGTTTTGAGATAAAAAATACCTACAAAAACAAATCTTTAGTTTTGAAAATAAATATTCAGTTAGAGAAAAATCGTTTAAATATCTGACATTTATGAATTTATGAATATCATGGTAAAAAATATCACAGAAAAATCAACATGGTTTTTCTCTATGACTTGCTAAATGAACAAAAACATTATTAATTATTTTTTTTCCATCAATCATCTCTACAGTCATAGTCAAAAGTAGGCAGATCATCTTTATTTCCTGATCTGCAGCTGCAGTTTTGATGTAATGTGATCTCTGTAGCTGGAATCTTCCTGATACTGGAAAAGAGCAAAAGTCAACATTCCAGGTCCATTGTTCCTGAACCAGAAGCTGCTCTGAGATCAGTTTTATTGTGTTGCACTGAAATCTGAAATATGAGTTTGCTTCAAAATCCAAATGATGTCAACAGGTAAACTTTCCTCTGACTCTGTTTGGAAAATTATTATCTTAGTTCATTTACTTTTATTTGAATGGTTATGTTTTCATATCATTCCGTGTGTTTTCTTTCCCTTTCCTTTATTGTATATTCTAAACTGTCTTTTAGGGTTTTCTCTTGAAGGTTGGAAATGTCTCACACATTTCTGTATTAACAAGCCACAATGATCTTTGTCTGTATCATGAAAGTGGTCATCATTGTGTCCCAATGATGGGACATCAACGGAAGACCTCCAGGACATCCTGTAGGATAGAGTATTGGTCAATTGTTTGCATGTCTGAGTGAGAAAGTCAACCTCTTTGTGTATTCACATAATAATAAAAGGCAGTTGGGGACTGAGAACCGATGGAGTTGATCTCAGACAGCGTTTGGCAGCGATTCTCTGCGTTGAACTCTTCTCCCCTTTTCTACGGAAAAGTAATTTGTGTCTTTGGTTGATTCTTGCAGGTTGGGGAACTAAATAACCCCAACAGACTCCCAGTCAGTCTGACAAGTCAGACCAGTTTGGGCTCATTTCTCCTCTTTACACTTTCAGATCAAACACACCTGTTCAGGTCTGTCTGGATTTACTGTGGTTCTGTTGGGTTTAGAAGCAACAGAATCACAGTAAAGAGGTTCACTCTTTACTAGAGTAAGAGTTAATCTTCATCAACTCTTTGGATCTTCTTAAATCGTAAGTTTGATCATTTGCCTACTTGAACTTTCTCTTCAGAAACAGATTG